CGATGAAAGAAGTGATGAAAGCATCGTTCGAAGCATTCCTCACGGTTCTGCTCGCCGGGGGAACGTCTCGAGCCTTCAACCAGTCCGACCACAAGATGATCAAAGAGGATTTTGATAGCCTGAAACGGGTTTTTTGCACTTGCGGAGAAGGGTTACTAAGCGAAGATGTGGTCCAAAGGGAAGCCGAGATAGTTGAAGGTGTGGTATCATTGATGGCTCAAACGACCGAGCAATTAACCGAGGATTTCAGCATTGTGGCATGCGAAACCAGTGGCATAACCTCCATCGGCTCCTTCCAAAAGCTACCGATGCCACCGACGACAGGAAGGTGGAATCGGTCAGATCCAAACACAATCCTAAGAGTGTTGTGCCATAGGAATGATAGAGCAGCCAATAGCTTTTTGAAGAAATCATTTCAATTGCCAAAAAGAAAATGATTGGGGGAAGAGGAAAAACAAAAATACATGTGTGTGTATATATATATATGAAGAATATGAGACGTTTTCTAGCATTGATTTTTCATAGATGTAAAATGTATTTAAAAAGTTTATGGAAATCTCAGGGGAATATGCCTTGTATTTGAATGTTATATTAAGATCTTGTTGGTTGGGGCAGAGAGAGACCAAATTGTACTATTTAAAGAGAAAAAATCATTTTTTTTGTTTTTTAGCATTAGGGTTTTCTAATTGTTTGTTTAGGGTCATATCATAATATATTTTTATTTATTTATTATTTATTTATTAATATTATTATACCTTATTTGGATTTTTGCATTTATGATATTGGAATGTTTTGAAATTTAGGGATTAATTTATAATTTGACTCATGGTTTGAGGACTTCTGGTGGAATTCACCCTATATATATTGATTCAACTCAGCTAATTGAAGCAGGGTTTTTAATGTTTTGATGCAATTTCAAATTTAAAGTTAAGGTTAAGGAGACATGAGCTGAGTTCAATGAGCATGACGTCATATAAGATAATCAGAGTTCATACAGAGCATTCAATCAAGCTCAGAATAGAACTACAGTAAACATACGATGCCATGCATCATCCATATGTCCAGCAACACATCAAAAACCTCACTGCTTCCAATATCTCTATACACCTATCTTTTGTACTAGTAGGTTTCAGCGCATGCGACGTGCATGGCGAGTCCTGTCGTTGTACCTTGGTCTGTCTTGGACCCTCTGGGGCTGTGGTTCCACCCTCCTCTGCCTTTCGGGTGACCTTTGAACAATCTCGCCGTTAACAAACAGCTCCGCCGCAAAGGGGGAGTGAAGATCAAATAAAATCCATACACAATAGTTTATGAGACAAAGATTCCATATCAAACAAGAAAATAGAAATTGCAGGAGCCTAGATCCTCATGTTCGTAATTAGGAGATTGAAGGGTCGGTAAATTTAAAGTTTGTGTAATGTTTCTTGTTCGAGAAAAACAACAATTAACAAAAGTAACTGTGAGAACCATAAAAACAGGCAAAAGCAAATTCAATGTATCTTCTCCTATAACCCTGCAACTCTATAAATATAAAGCACAGGAGAGTATCGAGAGGACTCCAGTGTTAGTCCATTAGCATTCAAAGCTACCCATTGCCAACTTAAGGCAAGTATCTTTGCCAAGATGGACTGAGATAAAGGTTTACAAACTCTTAAGCATTTCACTTTTATTCCCCAGATTCGAATGCAGAATATTCACTTCATCACTGAGAGCAGCCATGACTTTAGAGCAAAAAGGTCTCGAAAAAGACTCACTAAAGCATAATGATTAAAAGATAAGAGGATTGAGACAAATGTCTGTTTATCGATCAAAGAAGGAGACCACTCTAAGCTATTTGTGCAAGCCACAAGCTAATGTTTCATCTCCACCGGTCAGAGCTCAAATTAGGATGACAACAAATGGCCATGAAAGAAGCAGTTGATGTAAGTCCATTAGAATTCAAAACTAAATAATACCTATATGACATTTTAGATTTCCAAGATGGAACATATACCTAGGCAAGATACTCAAACAAGAATTTGGTCCACTTTTAAAGGTGGAAACTATATACTATTAATATTTCTTCCACACTGATCCAAAGTCCAAGTGGAAAAATAAGCACAAAACCATTAGAGAGACCTTTTAAGTCCATTAGCATTCAAAACTGGTATTGCCTATAAGGCTTATTCGATTTATAAAGATGAAGTACCATGTACTGTCTAAAACAGAACTAATCATCGAGTATAACACTCTAGTTAAGTGTTTGCACCGGTACCTCCCTTAGGTCAACTAAAACAAATAGAACATTCACATTATCATAAACAATTAACATTACATGCAAATACTAAGTTTTGCAAAACTGCTCATGCGAAAAAAACTTACCTCCGTAGTCCTTGTATTCAGGATCAACATAAGAATCCGGAAGCACAAAGAGAACACCAGGCAATCCTATTGAATATTGGCAAGATTAAAAACAAAATTTATACACTACAGACCATAAACTTCAAGCAGAAAAGAAAAATAAAGAAACAAATCCGACAACTGAAATGAAAATTAAAGGCAAGACCTTCTAACTTATTTGATGTCTCTTCGTCAATCTCACAGCCGAAACCGAAGTATCTCTCACAGGAGACATTGTATATCTTCTTCTTAGCTTCCTCTTCACTAACATGCAGCAAATAACAAGCAAGTCAAACACAATAATCTCGAAAACCAAACTGTCAAGATAATGCAAGCAATAGCAAAGAACCTCAATAAATTGCATCACCAATCATGCTAAAGAATCAATCTTTAAGAAAACAATGACAAACCTAGAAAAATAATTAACTTAAAAAACCAAGCTTTTATTTTCCTTTTCAAATTTAAACCATAAGTTTCCCCCCATTTTCTCAGCATAAAAACATACCTGCCGACGACTTTAGCAAGGGTTTTAATATAACAATCAATCATTTCCTGCTTATTAGCCCCTTCTCCACCCGGTTTATCCATAACAATAAGCCAATGCTCATAATCACAACCCGGAAAAAGCGGGGCCATTTCCGTAGGTGGCCGGTCACTGAAGTTTGATCCCGAGTTAAGCGGGGAGTAACCCGAGTTCCCGGAACGGTTGACGCGGCATCGTATGGAAGTGAAGCGCGTGCAGGCGAGAAGGAGAGATCGGACGGCGTGCGAAAGAGGGGTAAGAGAGCGACGAGAGAGGAGGGTGGGTAATGGAGCTGGTTGAAAGGAGGCGTTTGGGAAGGAGGAAAGATGAAACAAGATGGCGCGTGAGGGTGGAGGTGGCGGCGCGTTTTAGGGGTTGTGCCATGTTGAGAGAGATTCTGGATGGAGAGAGTGAAGGGAAAGGGGTTATGGATTTAGAAAGGGCTTTGGCATTGTGGATAATAAATGTTTTCATCAATTTATCTTGATATTTTGTATTGTCTTTCTCTTATATTTTGGGCTTCAATTTGGCCCATCATTTTTAATGTATTCACGAGAGTTTTCTTTATTTAATAGTTTAAATAGAAATTAATATAATTTTTATTTTGTTTAAGTTTTATCACTGAAATTAAGAAAGTTATATATCGATTACTGACATTATCAATGTATTACAATTGGATCAGTGAGTCGTTAACTCCAATCAAAGTATTTGTTTCAATTTGATTATCAACTGAAATTAACAACTCAATGACCAGATTGCAATAAATCGCAATGGAATGGTTGTAGGATTTGTTGGTCAGCTGCACTGTTAACGGCTAGAATATCATCGGCAAAGTATTTCGTGAAGCATCTCATTAGAAAAAAATACCATTACGCAGGCTCGTAGGAACATCACTCGTCATTATGATCTGGTAAGTGATCATGACTTTGTTACAAGGTGTTATAACAACATATGCAATATTCACCCACCAACAAGTATTTGTATTACAGGTTGCAAACTTGTCCGGATAACTCTTTGTTAAGGAACCATGTTACTAACTCGGTGTTACCATGTACTATCCACGAATAAGCCTATTTCAACTGGATTTGTCGAATCAAAGCTAACTAATTCCCTGCTAAAAAAATGCAGAGCATCGAGCTTCTTTCTACTCTCTTCTGGAGTTTTTGGGGTCAGGATCTCAACTTTTATGACTCTTCCTCTAAAAGTGCATGAACATTTGGATTTTATCTTCTTCCTAGCGTCGTGACATTGATATTTAAGTCACTTTACAGACGAGAGAAGAGCATTTGGACATTGCAGAGCAAAGAAAAATCAGTTCCCTAATTGAGAAAGTAAGAATTCATCATGATCTCATCCTCATTCTTCATCTTCCTTGATTGTGTCGTTTTCTAACACATACAGACGAGTATAGAGAAGTGGCATGAAGTTCTAGACATCGGTGTGGTTGGGGAAGCTTAGCTATCGAAACAAGGATTATCATAATATTATACCGTCTTAAACTCCTTAAGAATGTCATACAATAAGGATTATCATAATATGCAATACATTTCTGCAGAATAGTGAGTTCAAAACAGATGCAAGAAACCAGTTAAATTTCGGATCATAGATGGGTAGACATGGAAAGGAGATTCCTCGGAAACCATGCAACATGTATTGTTCCATTCCATGTATACATATAGTGGAAGATGTATTAGGTTAAAGCTAAGACATCAGTTACTTGTGTATGTGATTGCAGGTTGTGTTTTTAACTGGCTGGCAACTTCGGTACACTCGGCGACCCATACTGAGGTTTCCCATTGGCATATTCCTTCAATGATGATTGAAGTTAGTGTTGAACAATGATCCAAAGAAGCAAGCAAAATGATCATCACCATGTAAGGGTTCAAGCAGCTGGTTCAAGCTACTGCCACTGTTTAGAACAACCTGTGCCCCTAGTCCCTAGTTCTGTTTAGTTATGGTTATGCTGCAATGCAAGAATAAGTGATGTCTGCACTTTGTAGACTGGATGGATGTCAATCTATAAACAGGCCAATATATATATATATTTGTATATGTATAGCTTGAGGAATCCATTCAGTCATCATTAACTATCTGAACATTGCTTAATAGCAATAACAATAAAATGGTAAAAAATTGTCTACTAAGGGGAAAACATACACAAAATACACATCATTCCATCTCAATTTCATGCACAGGGCGCATCAATAAGCTGTCCGATTCGACCTGATCCAGCAATGAGCCACTAGTCTCCGCACATCTCTGTTTCTTAGAGCTCGACAGAACACCAAATATCACGCAACTGGAAACTGTGATCAAAATTGCGTGAAGAGCAAACAACAGATTCACCAAAGCCATGCCTCTCAACCCATCTTCTTCGAGCTCACAATGAACATCGGCATCGGGACTACGAGGCAAAAGCTCCAGTTTCTTACAACCTGTTGGAACAAATGCATCGGTGTACAAACACAAACCGGCTTGCAACAACCACGTGCCTTTGAAAACCAATCCGAAAGACAAGAAGAACTCGGCGAAAAAGGCTGTTCTTTTGACAGACAAAACCAAGCAACAACCGGCACAGAGGAGGGACAAATGAGCAAGCAATTCGTAAACGACGGTCCCAAGGCCGGTGACACCGACACCGCTGAAGGAATACTCGACGAGAAAGGCCATACCGGCGTAGGCGAAGACGAAAGTCTCGTTGAAAAGGGAATGGTCGAGATTGTCATAAATTACAAAGAAAACGATGAGTACCCAGAAGAGGGAGAGGCTGGAGAATTGCTGGAAGAAGGAGAAACGGTACGTGGAGTGGCCGGAAAGCGAGGAGAAAATGAAGATCTCTGCGAATGAAGCGAGGGGTAAAGCGACGGCAAGGATGTAAAGATCCAAGTTTTTCCATTTGGGGTTGGAGAAATACCATGGTTTTGATTTGAACAAAGATGGGTTTTTGAGGAAGAGAGAAGATGAACAGAGGAAACGGCGGATGCCGATTGGGGCAAAGAAGAGAGTTGCTAAGAAATGGGTTTCTAGAGAAGCCATTGTTTCTTCTTCTCTGTGTTTTCTGTGATGAGTTTTGATCTTCGATTGGGTTGCCAAGTTAAGTCCTTTTGGTTTGGCCGGATCACCAAGCTGACTTTTTCAATTTCCTTTTCCTTTTAGTTTTTAAAGGCATAATTTATAAATTCCTCAAATATTTTATCTTTTCGTTTTTAAATCTAATTATATTTTTCAATTTAATCTATAAAATTTTCTTTAGTTCACATTGATATTACGACGACCAAAATACTACATTACCAAAATAATTATAAAAAATGATATGTATATAAACAATTCCAAGGACTAAGTTAAAAATATTAAATTTAACAATTAAAATCATTTATCCTAAATTAAACCATATTTGTACAAGTAAAATTCAATTTTACCAGTCTTGTTTACTATTAATATAAAAAATTAATTCAAATGTTATAAAAATGGGGAAAACAAATCGAAAATTCAAGCCACCAAAATATGTGGTTCCTAATGCATTGAAGGCTCTGGAATTTACACAGAGGATCCCCATTTCACATAGAGGAAAGAAACCCCAATCACAGATTCTAAACCAGCACGAGGGACAAGCTGCTAGCGTTTTCAATGGCCACTTCGATTTCTGCAACTGGGTTCAAGCCAGGTTTAGGAACTTCCTTCTACGGAAACCGGGTTATTCGGCCATTTTCGGCGACCACTACGCTCGTTAACTAACTCAGTTCCGAGCCATGTTCGAGTCGGAAAACCCGTCAGAGCAACGCCTATGATGAAGAACGTCAACGAAGGTAAAGGTTTGTTCGCCCCTCTTGTGGTTCTTACTCGCCAAATCGTTGGCAAGAAAAGGTTCAATCAGCTCAGAGGCAAAGCCATTGCTCTGCACTCTCAGGTTAGTTTCCGATTCAGATTTATGTAATATTAATCGAATTAAATAAACGATTTATTGAATATTTATAAACATCACTCCAAACAACTTACTTTGAATGCGGTTATTCAATTCTTAGACAAGTTTAGAAATGTTTTAGAGATCATCGATTTGTATTAAAGGAGTCAACATTTTATTCATTCATGTTTGATTTATTTATATTTCGTATAGAAGATTAATAATTACAAATGTTAAAGATTTAAATTACATGAATTCAGGTAATTACCGAATTCTGCAAATCAATAGGGGCCGACGCTAAGCAAAGGCAAGGGTTGATTCGTTTGGCCAAGAAGAATGGAGAAAGTCTTGGATTCCTTGCATGATGATCAACCTGTGTTAGCTAAATTCGGATTTAATATCGAATGTGGGTATATATTAAGATGAGTATGTTCGATTTTTAAAGATCGTTCGAATATTTAAAAGACTATATCTATCTTGAATCTAAATGTGTATCAAACATGAAAATAAAACTGTAGAACTCGAGTAGCATGTGTGAGACGTTGGAGACTTGGAGTCGTATATTTCATGCATCTTTCCTGCATATAATTACAAGATTTGATGTATGATTTGGAACTTTAAATTTTAAATTACACCTTTTTTTATTTCGGAGTTTAATTATTTATTTATTTTGATTAAGATTATTAAAAAATCTCCTATCAATAAAAAGGTGACACTTAATACGTTTCTATGACATTATTTATTTTTAGGTAGAATGATGCATTCTTCTTGAAATCAAATCTAATTATATAGGAATTAAAATTCTTGATAAACTATGGACACAATTGATATATATATATATATAAAAGGTTTTTTTATTATGTCTTTTTGCGTTCTTAATTTATAATTTTATTATGTTTTTAAAGTTACAATCATCCTATAATAAATTTTATACGCTTCTGAATTAAATGAATTGATTAATAGATAAAATAATAATAAAAATATTTATATTGAAAAATATTTTTTATATGTGAGAGAGGGAGGACTTAAAATGAATTGTAAGTTTATAATACGATGTAAATCATGACTAAAACAATATCCTTATTAATATTATTTTTTATTTACTTTAATTATTTATTTTAATTATTCATTTAAATAATTGTTTTATATAACAAACAAATTATAAGATAAGATTACACGTTCAAAATAGAACTACAAATCAATCATAAAAATTATAATAGTAAAAAATATAAAACTCTTGATGTTAATTTTTTTTTCAATTACACCTTTAATGTTGTTATTAAATATAAATATGGGTTGGATCGAGTTTTTGGCCTACATAAATTAGATTTTCGTATTATACTCATCACTTGTCATTTGATTTCGGTTTAAGAAAGTTTCATCCAACCCTAATCAAATATGATGTTTAGGATAAAAATTTACATCCGATTCGATCTGAGCCGATATATATATATATATATATGTGATAAAATAATAACCAATTGAAAAAATATAGAGATTGATATCTTTGTAATTTTCTTTAAATATATAAGAGAAAACAAGACTATTATTTTGAGTAAAACTTTTTCACCACAAACTCATATTGACTCAGTCTTATCTTTCAAAAAATTATATTTGACCCAAACTTTTTTTTTTTTTTAAATCTAATCTTATAAGATTGAATCGTGGCAAAATCCGTAGATCCTAGTTTTCAGGAATTTGCGTTCCGGGCTTATTGAATGAGCGAAACTCTACAGCCGCCCATGGAGGCGGTGGTGGGGACTTTGATTAAGCCGTCCCTGGAACGGTCGGGTTCTCCTCTGGGGAACGAGGTGAAAAGTGTTCCGAAGAAGAATAGGATAGCATCCGAAACCGATGATACTAGGATTTCCAATGATATCGACATGCATGCAGTTGAGAGTATCCCTGCTTATGTAAGTCATCTTGTTACGACAGCCACTGTTCAAGAGGAAGGGAGTGCTCCAGAAGTTTTTGTGCCGCTGAACAATGCTGATATGAATGGAAGTGAAAAGAAGTATGCGGTATGTTAGTTGGGAACGATACATCGAAACGGCCATCCTTCCCCGAGTTGTAAAACGAGGAAGTGGTGCTCCAAGATGGCGACGTGGTAGTTGATCGCAGTGGCGCCTACCCAGTAATTCAGTTTTCCAATCGCGTACATGATACTATTGATCATAACATGCTGAGAACAGTGATTGTTAGGTATTGAGGAAGACAATAGGGTTCCGAGCACTTTGGCACAAAATAAACATCCTATGGCAACCAAAAGGTCGATCGATTTCAACCAATCGACTTAGACAATGAATATTTTATTGTGAGATTTGAATTAGATCATGACTACATCAAGGTTTTAATAGATGGTCCCTGGGTGATATTCGGAAGCTATCTAACGGTTCAACCTTGGAGTCATAACTTTGGTGCTGCTGAAAAACTTCCATCACAGGTTATTGTATGGATTCGCTTGCCTGGATTACCCTATCGATACTACACCAAATCGCTTTTTCGGCACCTTGCTGCTGTGATAGGTAGGGTTATCAAAATCAACTACAACACCAGAGCCGGGGAGGGGAAAATTTGTGCTTGTTGCTGTGGTCGTGGATCTAAATAAGCCGCTGCTTCCATGTATTGATGGATTTATTCAAAAGCTGGAATATGAGGGATTGCAAAATATATACTTCCAATTTGGTGTGTATGGGCATTCAAAAGATCGATGTAATATATCCCAGACTACACCTATGAACACCGAGAAGACGAACTCAACGAGTGAGGTGGAAGTTGTGGGAGATAAGGGAAAAAGAGAAGACCTCTATGGACCTTGGATGATAGCTACAGGATGTAAACGTAGGATCAATAAATCCAAAGAAGGTGCAACAGCTGCTCCTATGCCATCTAGCAACATAGGAAAATCACTGTTTGATGTCTTAGCTCGATGACGAACGAGAATGAAGTCGAGAATGGTAATCCGAACCTGGATAGCGAGACAACAATGAACGTTAATGGGGGTGCTGTTATGGGTAAAGCAAAAGGAAAATGCGTTATTGCTGAAAGGAGGGGGAGTTCTTCTGGCCCTTTGAACAAAGCAGGATCATCACGTGCAAGTTCTAAACCCAACGCTGCTGAGCCGGAGCAGCCTGAGAGGAATAGAATGCCATTGCAGGAGATCACCAGCGCTCAAACTACACAATCTAGTCTCGAAAAGGTTGAGGTTGCCCCAACTATTTTGGATAATGATACTCATGTTCAAGTTCAAGCACCAAACATTGTGGGAGGTAGCCATTTGGCGGTACAGATCAAAAGTACTGCGGAGAAGCGTGCAGGAATAAGAAAAAGAGTGGTAGCTCTCAAAAATGGATCCCCTCTAGGTAACAAGGTGATGAACAATAAATGATCAAGAGTAAAGGGGAATTGGCAGTATAAAGCACCAAATCGCCCCATTCTCACTGAATGTGTACAATCAGCTACAACCTTACTCGATGAAGTAGGGAACAGTATCCCTAATTTTCGTAATCCAAATGATTTGAATGGGGAACGTGACATGGCAGTGCATACAGAAAACACAAACTCGGTAGAGCAGAGATGATAATGACTGGGGTGTCTAACCCCGCCATTCCTTCCCCGTTGCCTAATGTTTAGTTGTATGTTTTGGAATAGCCAAGGGGTTGCTAGCCCTAATTATCGTCGTCATTTTCGACATTTTATAGTTAACTATAATCCATCGATGGGTGCTTTACTGGAAACAAGAATTAGCGGTAGTCGGGCAGACGATATGATTCGGACTTTTAGCTTCTCAACTCGTTTCGCGTGGAGGCTCATGGATTCAGTGGCAGATTTGGCTGTTGTGGAAGTCCGATATCTGCGTGGAGATTGTAACAATTTCAAATCAATTCTTACATGTGAGAGTACAAGATACCGACTCGGGAATACCTTTTTTCATCTCAGTGGTTTATGCTAGCCCTAGTATTTCGATAAGGAAACATCTTTGGGATCATCTCACTAATTTAGATCCCGGAGTTGAACACCCATGGCTCCTTGGCGGAGATTTCAACGCGTTATTGAATCATGATGAACGTCAAGGCGGTGCTATGAACAGAGTATCTCCTAGTAACGGGTTCAGTTCGTTCGTTTTTAATAATGGTCTGATGTTATCG